CTTTCCTCAAGTGCAGACCCTGAAAGTTTTAGCATCAGGGGGGTCAGACTAGATGACCCTTGCATTGCCATTGGGGCTCTGCAATTCTGAGATTTTGTTTTATGAGCAATTGCATGTCAGAGGAGACCTGGGAATCCTGAATTTTGAAGAGCAAGATAGGGATGAGATTCTAGTTGGTGGGGTGGCAATCCAGGGCACTGAATGCGAATGACTGGGGGGGGGGGGTATTATGGGATGGCCATAACACCCATCATGAATATGTGTGATGGACCCAGGTTGCCAATGCAATGGCAGGTGGCAAATGGTGTCGTATCAAAACAAGCCTGTGGATGTTGGAGAGGAATAGGAAGATTTGTGGGGATGAGAAAATGAGCCATAGGGGTCATAAAGGTTGTGGTTGCTGTTTATTATTAATTTTATTTAAAGTATTTCTGCATTGCTTTCCAGCCCACAAGGGCTCCCCCAAAGCAATTAAGAAATAAAAACCAACTACAACAATTGCTGTTGTGTGCCTTCAAGTTGTTTCTAAGGCAATCGTGGAGTTTTCTTGGCAAATGTCCTCAGGGGGAGTTTGTGATTGCCATATTCTGAGGCTGAGAGAATGTGACCTGGCCAACATCACCCAGTGGGTTTACATGGCTGAGCCGAGATTCGAACCGTGTTCCAAAGCCCAAGAAGGGATTCGAACCCAGGTCTCCCAGAGTTCTAGCCCAGCATTCAAACCAGATTGATTTTTGTGGGAATACAATTGTTCAGGAAAAGTCTAAATAGCAAAATCCTTACCTTGTGAATTTATTATTATTTCATTCTCTAAGTGATGATAGGTAGCGATTTCCTGGAGGAGACAGACAAGAAACAACTTCTGATGCTGTTTTCTCATAATCATGGCTGGAGAAAGTGATATTTTGGGGGACTAGAACTCCCCAGGTGCATCTACTACACTATAGAAATAATGAAATTTGACACCACTTTAACTCCCATATGACAGATTCCTGGGATTTGTAGTTTGATGAGGCACCAGTCCTCTTTGGCAGAGAAGGCTAAAGACCTTGTAAAACTAGAAATCCCAGGACTCCATAGGATGGAACTACAGCACTTAAAGTGGTGTCAAACTGCATTACTTCTACAGTGTAGCTGCATCTTCAGCATACCCAGAATCCTGACTTTTTTCCCCCCTACTGCAATTCCCAGAATCCTTTCGAGGTCTACCACTTAAGACCTATGGAGGTATAGAATGGAAGGAACCCTTGATACCATCAAGTCCAGCCCCTTCGAGTGGAGATGGCTGTAGGATTCGGGGGATTTTAGGAGTTATGTAGTTGTTGTTGTTGCGTGCCTTCAAGCCATTTCCGACTCTTGGCAAGTTTCTGCAAAGAGGGAATTGCCATTGCCATCCTCTGAGGCTGAGAGAGTGTAACCCAATGGGTTTTCATGGCTGAGCCGGGATTTGAACCCTGGTCTCCTGAGTCACAGTCTGACACACAAACCACTCCAGAACCATTACCTTGAGGGCCCTGCTGCACCGGGGAGGCAAGAAATTAATGCTATGAATATAGAATACATTTTTTGAAAGGTGACTGTCCCAAGCTTAGCAGAGACAAGGCGGATCTGAGCATGTACAGAGTGCCTTTCCTTCCTTAAGGTGGAACAGGGAGCTAGCAGAGGCCAAAGGCAAAGGGGGACAGGGGAGGCCACCTGAGTTTAGGCGCTCACCTGGATGAGGCTCATCAGGTGCTCACAGTCATCGATGGTGGCTTCTCGGATGACACACTCCATGCTCCTGCAATGGCCAACGCTTCCAAAGTCTCCTCTCTCTGGTGAGCCAGGTAGGCTCTATAGAAAGCTGGCTTTATAGTTCTCCCCACCCACCTGGGCGCACCTGGCTCAGCAAGCCTGATGTCCCTGGATGCGGTCCAGATGGGGAATGCGCTGCCCCATGGAGGTCATGTGCAAGCTGGCATGGGAACTGTACACATACTTCCCCCTGTCCATGGAAGACATAGCAACTGCTGGGAGAGACAGAGCGGCCAAGAACAAAGGGCCTTTTGCAAAGGATAAAATGGGAAAATCAAGCTTTGCGGTTTGGATTATTTTTTTAAAAATGCATATTTGCAAGCTGTGGATGGCTTAATCCGTGGATGCAGAATCTATGGATATATGGAGGAAAAGGAAAGAATGTAGTACCTTCAAGTTCCTGCATGGCAGGGGTTGGACTGGATGGCCTTTGTGGTCTCTTTCAACTCGATGATTTATGATTCTATGATTCTAAGTCCCAACCAGGGCTGGCCCTTCTTAGCTTCCAAGATCAGACAGGATCTAGGGCCTTCAGAGTAGTAAAAAGCACAGAAATCTCCATATTTCACAAAACTACAAATCCCAACAATACAAATCCCAGGATTCCACTAGCTAAGCATTAGGAGAAACTGCCTGAGATCCACGTTTAGAAAGTGATGGCGGGCTCTCCTTCCCTGGATGGCCACCCTTTATGGGGCTTGAGCCGTGGACCCCTTGCATCGGTAAGGCGTGGACTATATGACCCTTGGGGTGCCTTCCAATGCCCTGAATCTAAAAGGTGCCCTTGGGAGTGTCTTGTCCAGAGAGGTTATTCCATAGATAGGCCACTATGCTGGAGAAGGAGCCATACTATAATGTCAATTTGGTGGGCCACATTCTGAACTATAGATCCCAAAGACACACTAGCCATGAGTTGTGGGTTTTCATTTGAAACAAGGAATGATGCCTGCTTAAAGTGGAGTCTCCTTCCTTGGTGGTCTTTAAGCAGAGGCTGGATGGCCATCTGTCAGGGATGCTTTGATTGGGAATTCCTGCATGGCAGGGGGTTGGACTGGATGGCCCTTGTGGTCTCTTCCAACTCTATGATTCTATGATTCTATGATTAAACCTTCCCGTTTCTCCGTGCCTTTTTGGGTTGAAACATTTGCACAAATGGAGTGTCTCCGTGGCTGCATCCGCACTGCAGCAATAATCCAGTTTGGCGCCGCTTTAACGGCCGCGGCTCAGTGCTAGAGAATTCTGGAAACTGTAGCTTTGTGAGACATTTATCCTTGGTGCCTCAACAAACTGCAAATCCCAGAATTCCCTAGCATTGAGCCATGGCCGTTAAAGTGGTGTCATTCTGGATTAATTCTGCAGTGCAGATGCAGCCGAAGTGTGTGCGCCAGTCGCACATTTGACCCCGTGGGATGCAGAAGTTCAACTGTCCCGGGTTTCAGGTGTGCAGATGGGATTTATGACAGTCCTGGAGCTCCGAAACTGAGGCCAAAGGTTCAGGGGAGAGAAAGTTCACATAAACAGCGTGGGTCCAAAGGGCAGGCATCCGAACAGGAGATGGGAATCTGCATTGCCTTTGCCAGCTCCAGAGCATGGGAAATTTATTGGGGGGAACTACAGCTCCCATAATCCCCAATCACATAGGGATTCAGGGAGCTGTGGCCCACAAAAGCAAGTTTTCCAAACTCCCCAGCCCCAGGTCTATTCCCCAGATCGATTCTCAGGTGCATAGTAATAGAAATCTGGGATAGATAGTGTGCTCAGACTTCTGCTCCGGGGCTCTTTGCAGGGCTGCGGAGATTGTCATCAATGATCCTGGCCCTGATCCTGAGCGTGGAGATATATAGTTTGCTTCTTGCCCTTTGTGTGTGTTGTGTGCCTTCAAGTCGTTTCGTACTTATGGTGACCCTAAGGCGACATATCATGAGGTTTTCTTGGCAGGATTTGTTCAGAGTAAGTTTGCCATTGCCTTCCCCTGAGGCTGAGACAGTGTGACTTGCACATGCCCCCCCTTCCCCCCAAAAAAGAAGTGAGCAGAAGTCTTACTTCTGGCTTTTAAAAACAGGTGATTTTTGACTTCCAAGAAAATACCTGTGAAAGGCTGGATCTGTGCTGCAGAATTAATGCAGTTTGACACCGCTTTAACTGCCATGGCTCCATGCTATTGGATTCCGGGATTTGTAGTTTTGTGAGAGATTTACCCTTCTCTGTCAGAGAGTTCTGGTGCCACAACAAGCTACAAATCCCAGGATCCCATAGGATGGAGCTAGGACAGTTAAACCGGTGTCAACCTGCATTAATTGTGTAGTGGGGCAGCAGCCTTGGACTGCATCCACACTGCAGGAATAATCCAGTTTTACACCACTTTAACTGCCATGGCTCAATACTATGGAATTCTGGGTAGCCTTGTGAGACATCTAGCCTTCTCTGGCAGAGAGTTCTGGTGCCACAACAAATATAGATCCTAGGATTTCATAGCTTTGAGCCATGGCGGTTAAAGTAGTGTCAAAGTGGATTATTTCTGCAGTGCGGATGCAGCCTTTGTCTCTTTCAGCACAAAAAAGGGAAAGCGGGTGCAAGGAGGGAATCCAGCAGCATCTTTAAGACTACCAAATGATTTGGTTTTTGATGTTAAACAGTGCATGGACCCCATAACCTATTTAAAAAGGGGGATTGTCCCTGAGGTGAGGGGATTCATTCTGATTGGGGCAGGGAAAAACAACCAAGGAGGTCTGGAAAGATGGAGGGCTATAAAAACAGCCTTATCTGGGCAACCACCCACATCCCTTTGCCCCAGTTTGGCAAAGACAATCCCAATTAATCCTCTGCCATCCCACTTTCCCAGCTGCTTTTGAAATGTCCCAGTTTCTCTCTCCTCCTCCCCCTTCATCCCCAGCTTACTCCAGTTGCTGCAAACTGAGTTCAAAGGGGACAAGTTGCTTGCACTCAGTTAATTCGACTGCGAGGAGAAGAGAGAGCAAAATCTTGCCCTTCCCAGGAGGTTCAGACAAAAGCAAACTGCATTTTCTGCCTTGTCTGTTCTTCCTTGTTGGCAATGTTTGCCATCTTGGCCACACTCTGAGGTTACGTGGCCACATGTGTCCCGCTCTGCATGTGTGAAATGGAAGAAGGTGTGCATCCATGATTATGGACACTGCAAATACGACACCGAGTTATGTTCTAGATTCTGAATTTTTTAAGAGCATAAAGCCAGTGTGGCATAGTGGTTTGAGCGTTGGGCCGTGACTCTGGTGACCAGGGTTCGATTCCTTGCTCAGCCATGGAAACCTGCTAGGTTACACTCTCTCAGCCTCAGAGGATGGCAGTGGCAAATCCCCTCTCAAGAAACCTGCCAAGAAAACCCAGTGATAGGATTGCCTTAAGGTTGCCATAAGTTAGAAAAGACTTGAAGCATTTCCTATAAACTAGGGACAGGCGCCATTGCGCAGGTGTGGACTTTGGGCTGTGGCGCCATCCTCTGGCCAAATAAATCATAGGCTCAGTCTACAAAAGCTTACACTACAAACTTATTTTTCTCACTTTTCTTTTCTTTTTCTCATCAAACATATTTTTTTTCTCATAGGTTTCTCAAACTTATTTTTCTCACTTTTCTCTTTCGGACCAAGGGAAACCTAGTGTGTTTTTTTTCTTGCCAAGATTCATTCAGCAGAAGGTTTGTCGTTGCCTTCCTCTGAGGCTGAGAGAGTGTGACTCACCTAAGGGTCACCTGGTGGGTTTCTATGGCCGAAAGTGGATTCAAACCTGGTCTCCAAAGTCATAATCCAGTGCTCAAAGCATTGAGATAAACCATAGGGGAGGTTGGCAAGATTTGTTTAGAGGCTGTGAGAGTGTGACTAACCCCAGGTCACCTGGTGGATTTCCCTGGACTTCCAGAGTCCTAGCTAGTGGTTATGAATTGCATTTTACTGCTTAATTTTTCCGATTTAGAGGGCATCTACACAGTAGAAGTAATGCAGTTTGACATCAGTTTGACTGCTCCATCTTCCAGAATCCTAGGAGGTGTAGTTTGGTCTTTGGCAGAGGAGGTGAAAGACCTTGCAAAACTATAGATCCCAGGATTCCATTGCCACGTAGCACTTAAAGTGGAGCCAAACTGCATTATTTTTACAGTGTAGTTGCACCCTTGGATAGGCAGATCTGGCTCACTCTTGTGGAAAACAGGATGCTGGGCTTGATCGAACATTTGCAAAATGTTCCTTATGCACCGACATCTGGGAAGTACCTGGCCAAAGGTTTCAGGTGCGTCGTTCTAAGTGATTTCCTGGGACAAACTACCTCTCCCCCTGAAATCCCGGCAGGCGTGGGTGGGTGAAATGTGGCTTCCACGTGGCACCCCTGAAGGAAGCCATCCTGCCCTTAAATTCCAGAGGCAGGTCATAACACATCTCTTCTCCCTTCCTTGCCCAAACGTTGCCTTTCCGCAGCTTTGTGTTCTTACTGCAGCACCCATCCGTAGCTGGAAGAAGAAGGAGAGATGGCCATGAGATCAGAGGGGCATGAAAAGCCAAAACATTATTACCGTAGCAGTTACAATGGCCCATATGGCTGTGGCCTTCTGTGGCACATAGGGCAGTGGGTTTGACTAGATGACCCTCAGGTGTCCCTTCCAATTCTGTGGCTCATTCTCCAGACTGTGGTTCTCTGCCTTTCTTTTGGATTCACAGACCCCTCTGGGAAACTGGAAAAAGCGATGGATCTCCTGCCTGGAGAAATACACATGAAGCTATAACTAAAAGGTTTAGCGTACTATTTCCTTTATTGCATTAGAGCAGGGGTAGGCAACCTAAGGCCCGGGGGCCAGATGCGGCCCTCCGAGGCCTTTGAACCGGCCCCAGGCTGGTCCTGCCGCCGCCGCCACCATGATGATATTGATTATTGTTGTTATTACTTGTTCTTAGAGTTTTCTTGGCAAAATCTCCACAGGGGTTTTGCCATGGCTTTTCTGGGGCTGAGAGAGTGTGCATGCATATTTTAAAAACTTTTTACATTTTTTTAAATTTAATTTTTAATTTGAATATTTATTTATTTATTTATTTATTTTTGGTGCTTTGGCCCCCCAATTGTCTGAGGGACAGCAACCCGGCCCCCAGCTCAAAAAGGTTGCCTACCCCTGCATTAGAGGTTTATTTGTCTCCCATGGGTCCAATCCATACTGCAGAAATAATCCAGTTTGGCACCGCTTTAACTGCCCCAGCTCAATGCTAGGGAATTCTGGAAACTGTAGTTTTGTAAGACATTTCGCTTTCTCTGTCTGAGAGCTCTGGTGACAAAGCAAACTACAATTCCCAGGATTCCACAGCACTGAGCCGGGGCTGTTAAAGCGGTGTCAAACTGAATTGTTTCTGCAGAGTGTTTTGGACCTAGGGCTGCATTCACATTGCAGAAATAATCCAGTTTGGCACCGCTTTAACTGCCATGGCTAAATGCTATGGAATCCTGGAAATTGTAGTTCATTTTTAGCACCAGAGCTCTCAGACAGGGAAGGCTAAATGTCTGATAAAACTACAATTTCCAGAATTTCATAGCATTGAGCCATAGCAGTTGAAGTAGCATTATATTAAATATTATTGTATTACTGTTAATAATAATAATAATAATAATAATAATAATAATCATAATAGAAAGTAACAACAACAACAACAACAATTATTATTATTATTATTATTATTATTATCATTACCCCCCTCTCCCCATGGATTGAGACTGGGAATAACAACAACAAGAACAACAATAATAGTAACAAAAACAACAGTAGTAGTTGCTATTATTATTCATTTCTGCTACTACTACTACTATTGTTATTGTTAATAATAATAATAATAAAGAGCAATAATAATATTTAATATATTAAACATATAGCAGTAGAAATAAATTATCATTATTTATTTCTACTGCTTTATTTATATAGGAATAAAGCAGGAGAAATAAATAGATTTCTATATAAATAGATTAATAATAATAATAATGAGCAATAATAATATTTAATATATTAAACATATAGCAGTAGAAATACATTATCATTATTTATTTCTACTGCTTTATTTATATAGGAATAAAGCAGGAGAAATAAATAGATTTCTATATAAATAGATAATAATAACAATAACAATAACAACAACAACAATAATAAAATAATAATAATAATAGGAACAGGGATTTATACTAATAATGATTATGATAGCTGCAGGAGCAGCAGCCCTTCCCTCCCCCTTTGCCAGTCGCTCCCTGCCCTGGCTCAAAATGGCGGCGCCGGCTTCCTCTCGCGAGAGTCGGCGAGAGTTGGAGCCCGGGGATTTCCCGGCGCGTGGTTTTGCCGCTTTGGGGTTTCATTCTGCAGCAGAGAAGGAGGCGCTGCTTGGAGGCTGCATTTCCCTCTGGTGCTGGTAGGAAAAAATTGGGCTGTGTGTGTGGGTGAGAATGAGAAATTAAAGGAGGGAATGAGTAAAAAGGAAGAAGGGAGGAGTAATGGTTCGTGTTTGTTTTCCTCCTCTTCCTCCACTTTCTCTGATGATGATGAGTCACCCTGGGGCTTCCATTGATTAAACAGAATCCGAAGGGGGGGGGCCAGGATCGAACGTTGGCGGCGCCAAGGTTCGGAGGATGGAACGTTGGCGGCCCCAGCGTTCTCGCCGCGGAACGTTGCCTGCCGCCGCGTTCCATTCATGGAACGCTGGAGTTCTTCTGGCTCTTTTGCACCAGGAGGGAAGAAAGGCCCTGATCCTGGGCCTGGGGATATATAGTTTTCCGCCCCGCCCCTTGGTGCGCCTTCTTTTCCTGATGACTTCTGGCTTCTTCTGTGCTGGGGTTTGTTTTCTTGGCAAGATTGGTTTTGCCATGGCCTCCCTCTGAGGCTGAGAGAGTGTGACTTGTGCCCAGTGGGGTGCCCTGGCCGAGACGGGATTCGAACCCTGGACTCCAGTGTGGTAGCCTTAACACTCAAACCACTGCATCACCCACCCATTCCCAAGTGTTAGCCTGTTTGTTTGTTTGTTTATCTATTAAAATAAATAAATAGCCTGTTAATCTGTTGTTGTTGGATTAAAATTTTTTGATCTGTTTTAACTTTTGTGAATTTTTAAGGATGGCTCTATTAACTTGGGAGCCACTTTGAGGCCTGAGCTGGCCTGGCAGAAATAAAAATTATTAATAAAGAATATTTCTATTGAGCCCCTTTTATCTGGTAGTGACCATCTTCACAATTGTAATATTTTATTTTCTGTGGCCACCCAAATGTTTTATGTGTTCTTAACTTCATATTTTATGGAGTTTGTCTTTTATGTTTGCCTACAGTCTGTTGACTACAATAAAGGCTTTGGTTGATTGATTGAATAATTATTAATATTAATATCATTCATTTTCTTAAATCTTTGTTTTTTAATAATAATAATAATAATAATAATAATAATAGTAATAATATACCGCCCAATGGTTGCCCAATCCGGGTGGGTTACAGCATAAAACAATTACAGTAAAAGCATACCCCCCCTTAAAGCAGTATTAAACAACAACATAGTTAAAATCCTAATAACAATTTTTCTTCTTACCTATTTCGTTTACAGTCATTACAAGAGGTCTCTATACTTTTCCAAAAATACCTGTGACGTTCGTTGAAATTACTTCAAAACATAGTTACTTGTCACCAAAACCATCCTGCAAATTACCTTAATATTCTACATTAACGTTAATAATTCAGTTTGATGATATCACTTCATTTTGAATCTTTTAATTTTCTGTTTCCTCCTTCCATGACTTCCTTGGAAAAGTGAGATATATAAGTAGTCTTATGCTTGGCTACTTCTTTACTTTGGTGATGTAGTTAAAATTAAATTAAATTATATTAAATTATATATTAAATTGAGATCTTGATTCTTAGCTGGTTGACATATTGACTTTGGACCGTCCATGATTCCAGTTGTTTTTACAGAAGTTTAATAATCCTCCTCCTCCTCCTCCTCCTCCTTATTCCTGGCCCCTATTTTGGGGAATATGATTGGGAAGGAGAGCAAAAGAGGGGGACCTACTAAAACAAATGACAGTATTTGCCCATAGGGAAACCATACTTGCCCATAGAGAATCATTGGAGAAGACTTGCCCAAAGGGAAACATTGGAGATGTTTCCTATGTTCCCCTATGGGCAAGTCTTCCCCAATGTTTCCCTATGGGCAAATAATTCCCATTATTTCCCTATGGGCAAATATTCCCCAATGTTTCCCTATGGACAAATAATTCCCATTATTTCCCTATGGGCAAGTACTGTCATTTGTTTTAGTGGGTCCCCAAAAGAGATGTAGTTTCCCTGGGTTGCCCCAGGAGTGCCTACTCCAGAGTAAGGGCCCTGGGGATCGTGGTCTACCCACCTCTCTTTCCCCCCCCCAAAAAATTTAGAATATTTCTAATATTTTAACTATTTCTAATAGCATGCCTGTTGGTTTGGAAGTTTGGGAGAGCAAGGGAAGGGGTTTGGGGGGGTCCTCTTCCTTTTGCACAGTCTCTCTTTGCCCTGGAAACTTGAAGACTGGAAAGAGAGCTTCCTTCCTTTCTTTGGCTGCATCCACACTGGAGAAATAATCCAGTTTGATCCTGCTTTAGGCCAGGGAATCCTGGTGCCACAATAAACTCCGGTGCCCAGAATTCCCTAGCCTAAGCGGGATCAAACTGGATTATTTCTCCAGTGTGAATGGACTCCAAAGTGAAGCACCTTGGAATTGGGGGGCAAGGTGTGTGGGAATGGATTAGGAGAACTCTACTCAAAAGTGGCCTTTGGGACTACAGTTCCCAGAATTCCCCACCAGCCTCCTGCTGGGAGCTGTAGTCCAAAAGGGTGGCTTTTCTGTACTCTGATCCAGCTGTGGTGGTGGGGAGGGATTTTGGGAGATGTAGTGGAATAAAAGGTCCCCCTGTCCCCAACTGTGGTGGCAAAGGATTTGGGGAGTTGTAGTCCAAAAAAAGGGGGACTTTTCTTTTCAGTTCTAATCCATTGGGGTGGATTTTGGGAGCTGTAGTCCAAGAAAAGGTCTCTTTTTTTCAGCTCTGATCCATCCTGGAGGGGCATCTACACTGTAGAAATCATGCAGTTTAACACCCCTTTCCATCCATCCCATGCAATCCTGGGATTTTTAGTTTTGCAAGGCCTTTAGCCTCCTCTGCCCAAGAGTGCCTCGCAAA